TTTATTCAGGAGCACCCTGAGAAAGAGGCTGGCCCAGCCTCTGTTTCTTACCTCCCCTCCAAAGAGACAAGCAGCCCTGAGTGGTGATCCAGCAGCTGCAAGTCTGAGGCTTCTCTCTTGCTTTTGTATATTTTGCAAAAAAGAGTGGTGGGAGGGATGAGGTTAATGCGTTGAGTGTGAGTAATTAGTCATTCAAACCATTGACATTTACAATGACAGGATTTGAGTGCCTACGTTATTGTGCACTGCTCTAATAGTTTATCCTTGAAATTTTCTGCCTGTATAATGTTTCTTAAAATATATCACGGGAACATAAAAGATTTAATGCAATGCTTTGTACAACCATTAGAGTCTGAAGTCAACTGAACCTCCTCAGTGCTCTATCCTGGATGCTGACTCTAATTCTGCTTCTTAATTGCCATTCAGAAGAGGGAAGGAGGGCAAGTCAAGGGTTTGGAATCTGGTCAGCTGCAAAGTTGGCTGTGAGACCCACACAGAATGTTTTATTAAAATACATTTGCACACTTGAATAACTGATATATTTATTCGCAATGAGAATGGTGCTGTTAGAATATCAAAGGCCATAGGCTGGGGAAGCAAGTGTTCTGATTTTGCAGAGCCAGCCTCTGTGCTGATTGGAGGCTATCCTTCCCACTATCACATATGTATCTCTCTGGTCTGTTTCCCAGGTAGAGATTACAGGTGTCCTCTCTCTCTAAGATCAATCATGTAAAGCTAAAATGTTGTCATTTCATATCGTTGGGTTTGTTATCTTTATATCTTGGTAACTTCTCTTATTTTCCAAGTAATGGTTTCAAATCCTCATGGTTGACTTATGTGTCAGATGTAATTCTGACATTTTACATTTCTGATTCCTTTTGTAAGCCTGTTTTGCATCCTGGGCTGCATCATTAAGACCAGTGAAGGATCTTATGACATGAGGTATAACAGTGCATTTGCAGATGTTTCCCAACTTCAGAACTGTATGTTTTTATTGGGAAAAGTCTGTGTGTGCATGTGAGTACTTCCATCAGTTCTTTCCAAATACACAGAATGATGACTGTGCAGTGAGTGCAGAGCAAAGCGAGCTCCATCTCCATCAGACAAGGATGACTTGGCCTACTGTCTAGTAGCTCAATGCAGAACATTGTGTCTCATGGCTCTTTTTTGGAGGTTTGAGCCCAGTTAGGATTGTCTGATCTACAGATGGGGCTCAGCTCCATGAGTCAGCATACATTAGGAAATCCACATCGGATGTAAGCAGATCAGAAAGCTGATTGAGGAACTGAAATTACTTTGCTGCAGACTTGATACTTCCCAGACCTGTGAGATGTTCACACGGGCAAGTGGCTGGCTTTCACCCACATGTGTCTGTGAGGTGAGCATCCAGTGAACAAAAGATGAACCCAGCTGTCAGGTGACCTTTAACAGTCTGAGTCCCACAGAGTCTCAGCGTGCTTAGGTATGGCTGATATTACTCTTCATATTCCATTTTAAGACCCCCAAAAGATGCCACAAAAGCACAGGCTATTGTGTAGGTGTCTGGGAGACCTATAAGAAGGGTTAACCTGAGGAAGGTGGAGAGCAGAAAAGGTGCTCTATAGATGATGGAACTGGCCTTTTTTGCCATGAAATAAAAATTCCATAGTTGGGCAGCTCTGTGATTCTGCTAGCCAAGCCTTCTAAATTGGATATACTCTGTTTTTCAAATTCTTTATCGAGTTGGCAGTGCTCCATGTGTTTGTTGCCTGGACACCTGACTCACTGAAGCAGTGAGACTACACAGCAAATGGAGGCACTGCACAGACCCAGGAGGCCGGACGGCTTGGCGAGCAGACACCTGCCTCCCAGCAAGGAGCTGAGATGATGCTCTGCAACATCATCTCCATTAGCATGGCCCCCTCCCCTGGGCACAGCTTTCTCATTTTTCCTGGAACCCTGCCTCAAGGGCAGAGCAGCTGAATAGGCTTTTGGGTGCAGTTTCTATCACTGCTGAGGAGTGCCTGACTTAGGATTCTTTTTAGGGACTCTTTGCTTTCCACTTGCTGTCTGGACCAGCCTTCCAGAATCTCATAGTTGACCTGAAGCCAAGAATAAAGTTCTTGTGATGTGATTCAAGTTACTTACATGGCACAGCTGGCGTGGCTCAGTGGTTGAACATCAATCTATGAACCAGGAGGTCAAGGTTCGATTCCCGGTCAGGGCACATGCCTGGGTTGTGGGCTCTATCCTCAGTATGGGGTGTGTAGGAGGCAGCCAACCAATGATTCTCTATCATCATTGATGTTTCTCTCTCTCTCTCTCTCTCTCTCTCTCTCTCTCTCTCTCTCCCTTCTCTCTGAAATCAATAAAATTATATATTTTTTAAAAAGTTACTTACATGATGTTAAAGAATCTTAGAAGCTCCCCACCATCCTCAATCTGCCTAATTTCCCTGACTCCTCTTCTCTTATTTGTTATTGTTTCATTTTCCATTTGTGATCATTAGAAGAGGAAACCACTATAGTAACCTCACCTACATAGGGCATGATGCAGAATAATAGTTATGATGCCTCCAGGGAGTTTGTCTAGGCACTTAATCAATAAATATGTGATCTGTCACCCTGAAGATAGCCCTGCACAATAGGCTTTATTCCAACTTACAACGAGGAAGCAGAGGGTTGGGGTATTGAGGCTACCGGCCCGATCTCATACAGCTAATAAGTGATAGGACTAGAATTTTAAGTCAGCTGTGCAACTAAAGACTCACTCCTTTTTACTCAACCACTGTACTTCAGATGAGAAAATAAGTGAAAAACAAAATAAAAACAAAAAGCAGTCTCTAAATGCTGCCGAGGAAGTGCAGCTGCTAGAACTTTCATATTCCACTGGCAGGAATGTGATCGGTACAACCACTTCGAAAAACTGCCGACAAGTATCTACTTTACCTGAACATACATATACCCTAAGACCAAAAAATAGACTCCCAGGAACATTCCCATCAGAGATAAAATAATAATAAAAAGTGATATTTTTACACAATGGAATTCTCTACAGCAGTGGAGAACAACCTGCCACTACATTTGACACATGGATGATACCCAGACATAATGTGTGGAAAGAAATAAAAGAGTATGTATTGTGTGACTCCATGTGCTTAAGTTCAAAACCAGATAAAAATAAATATGTGGATTAGAAATGGCTACGTTGGGGTGGGAGGTGTGAGTGATGTGGGCAGGAGGCCAAAAAAGGCTCCTGTGACGCTAGTCATGCTCTCTGGAAGGTGGTCGGTCAGGTGTGAGTTGTGTTTACCTTGTAAACATTCTTTGAGTTGCATCCTCAAGATTTAAATACTTTACGACATGTATATTATATTAGAATTCCTATTCCCCCAAATTCTCTGAGCAGCCAAATGGTAATAATAACGGTAGCTGCTAGTTATCAGATCTCTGCTAAGCCATGGTTTTCTCATCTATAAAATGTAGAGAATATTAGAACATGCCTCATTGCTTTCTTGTGAGGAGACAGTGAGAGAAGTCACACCACATGACTGGAAGAGTGACTTTAATTAGTATCAATGATTGTGGTTATGTTCCCACTACTATTTGGGCGCTTTATACACACTGTGTTACCAGATCCTTCTTACCACCTAGTGAGACAGGTGGCATTGTTCCCATTTTTTCAAATGAGAGAATCTAAGTCTCCTACAATGTAAGTTTCTTCCCCAAGATCACACAGCCAGTGAATGGCAGGGCATGATTCTATTTCCAAGGAGTTGATCAATTTCAGAGGAGACGGAAGCCCTATCATGAAGGATGAGTAAGAGATGGTTGTAGGACAGAATGGAAAAGTGGGACTGATGGGCTGCATTTGAGGCCAGGAAAATTGGGTGCAGGCCCAGACTCTGCCCCACTTTCTCGTGATGACAAAGAAGTTGCTGGAATCCATCTCAAACTTGAGTGTTCTGAACTAGATTTTATTCCCTTCAATGTCTTCCAGCTCTGAAATGTTGTGATTCTCCATGTTTATCATATGATATGGGGCATCTTCATCACCTAGCTCCATGAGCTTAAACCCATTTTCCACAAAAACCTCATCCTAGTGTCTTCTTAATACTTTCCTCTGAACCCCGCTGTCCTATTAGCAGGGTTAATTACCCCTCCACTACATGTCTATTGTCCTTCTGCAATCCTCTTGCCTGTCTGTGTCCTCTGTAAACAGTAAATTCCTTGAAGGTAGAGACATTTGTGGAAATCTTTGTAGAATTAACTATTTAAATCCAGAGAAAGTTCTTTTTGAGTCATGTGCGGAAGGACAACCTCGGGATGTGTTGGACCTCAGGTGGAAACCTAGAGAGAGCTTTTCCTTCCTGGTGTTTTATTTTAATAGAGGTCCAGGAGAAATAGTGACAAAGCGGCTAGGTTGAAATATCAGTAGATAGACTTTGTAGCTCCCCGGTATGCGCTCATGAAATCTGAAGTTTGATCAGTGATTAAGCATCAGTGAAAATCTAAACCCTTCCTATACGAAACAGCTCTACTTAATTTGATGTCATTTCACATTAGGAGATAGTTAATAAACAGGTACTGTATTTGATCTTATGAGTGTAGCCCTCTATATTTAGCTTTTTCAGCTTTAATGGAACTATAATTTTAATCATGATTATTACTTTACATTTTAATTATAATTTGGTGTGGCTTAAGTATACATTTCTGAGAGTGATTGTGTAATGAAAACAGGAATTAGCTTTTCATTAACAAAATAATGGGAGAGTTCCCACTGCATGCTAGTCTGTGTTCAAAATCTATGGGCTGGCCTAAAAATAGCAAGGGGAGTTTAACATTTTAGTTTAAAACATGCTTCTAAATTGGCTATGTTCACAACCCATTCTCTTTTGCTCCATCTTGTTCTATCTTGTTCTCTTTTTCTTTTCAAAAATTTAAATTAAATCTTGAAAAATACTTTAGTTATATCTTTGAGATTTCAAAAGGCTTGTTTTTGTTATTTTTATTTTTGTTTAGATAATTAGCACCATGGAGCCTCAGGTGTCAAATGGCCCGACATCCAATACAAGCAATGGACCCTCCAGCAACAATAGAAACTGTCCTTCTCCCATGCAGACAGGGGCAGCCACAGATGACAGCAAAACCAACCTCATAGTCAACTATTTACCCCAGAATATGACCCAAGAGGAATTCAGGAGTCTCTTTGGGAGCATTGGTGAAATAGAATCCTGCAAACTCGTGAGAGACAAAATTACAGGTATGTTCTTCCTCAACATTCTAGGCTTGGAATCTGCAGCTGTGATGTTCCATTAGATGTGCAGACCTTAGCAGAAATGCACATGCATGGTGATGCGTCTGAGTGTCTGCAGTGTGGATCCTGCATTCAAGGATGGTGTGGGCACACAGTCATAAACTCATACGTGTGTGCACTATAGAAAACCACACTGAGGATTGGTAGGACTGAGAAGAAGATGAAGAATTTGGAGCTTCCTCAGCTTTACTATCTGTGAAATAATACTTAATCAGCCACCTTTTCCCTTTGTTCTTTAGTTCTCTGTTCTGCTCTCTGCCCTCCGTATACTCCATGCTAGTTTCTATCTACTTATCCCTTTCCCCTCAAACATTTGGTTTGTGTGTGTCCGATATTCTTCTGTGTGTTAGACAGTGTTAGGTGGACTTGTGGAAGGAGGCCACAACTGCCCATGTCCCTGGGGAGAAATAAGCCCTAAGGATAGCAGATTACTCTGCAGTAGGAGGGAGATGCTCCATGAAGATCCGCATTTGAGGTATTTTATTTTATTTGTTTGTTTTGGAGATACTCTTTAAGAAGTCAGAGACTTTTTACTTGAAAGTGAAACAATACCTTATACAACTTCAGTACTTACGGTTTTTAGGTTCTGATTTTTTTCCCACAAGCATTCATTGAGGACCTAATGACACTAATTATTGGGGAATTTCCCCACAATCTTATTTGAAATGAAAAAAATTTCTTAGAAAAATACTGGGCTACATGACAGCAGTGAGGTAGCTGTTCTCTGGGTACTCCACTCCTAAAATCATTCACACTCACCTTTAAGCATTTGTCTTTTTTGAGTGTTGACTTATTTCCCTTTCTCTGGATAGTTTAAGTGTTAAGCAACTAGCCTATATAAGAAAAAGGAAACACTCTCATTATAATAGGAAGCTACATCATCTTGATCTTAAATCAGAGAACCCAATGTATATGTGTGCATGTAGAGATATACACACACACACACACACACACACACACACACATACACATACATACTAGAGGCCCGGTGCACGAAATTCGTGCAGTCGGGGGTGGGGGGCTCAGCCCGCCCTCTCACAGTCCAGGAGCCCTTGGGGGATGTCCGACTGATGGCTTATGCCTGCTCCCCAGAGGAACAGGCCTAAGCCATCAGTCAGACATCCTTTGCGTGGCCATGGAAGCAGGAGAGGCTCTTGCCACCACCGCTGCGCTTGCCAGCTGTGAGTCTGGCTTTTGGCTGAGTGGCACTCCCCTGTGGGAGCACACTGACTACCAGGGGGCAGCTCCTGCATTGAGCATCTGCCCCCTGGTGGTCAGTGTGCATCATAGTGACTGGTCGTTCCCCTGTTAAGTTGGTTTGCATATTAGCCTTTTATTATATAGGATATATACTCTTTAATTTTCTAATTCCCGTGTAAATCTGTCCCCCAAATAAATTAGGTACTTTTCAAAACCACAAAACTAAAATAACTGTAAAAAATATGTCACATAACCCTTCAAACATAATTTTCTCATCTGTAAAATTGGGAAATAATAGTTACCGCAACAGGTTTATTGTGAGGATTAAATGAGAGAACAAATGTATGCTACCTAGCACCATGTATTGCAGAGCAGTCTCTCAGTAAGGGGAGATGTTCTTATTACAGATACAGTTAGTATATTTCAAGGGAGTGGCTAGAACTGCCGGGAGCCGGTCCATCCTTGCTGTTTCAAGGGACCTGGCATATATGGCATACCGTTCTTAATATGTTTGCTCACCTTCTTGGCACTATGTGTTTTAACCAAGGTCACCTCTTTGAGAAAGGTTGTTTCCCCAGGTAGGGATTTTCCCCTGAAGTTAGGGAGGGAATAAAACCCCTTAACTAAGTGCCAGGCGGGTAATTAATCACTTTAACTACGAACAATCATGCTTAAGCTACATAATCTTTACTCCCTGGAATGGAGATAAGAAACGCCCTAACCTTTGGAATAGAGATTGATAGGATTGGAATCAACTGGTATAAATACAGATGTAACAAGACAACAGGACACAGAACTTAGAAGACAGAACTTAGAAGACAGAACCTACACAGAACCTGGAGACAGAAGAACTTCGCTGGAGAGAACATGGCAAAAGATCCTGGACAGAAACTGGCAACAGAACCTAGAGAGAGAACATGGCAAAAGATCCTGGACAGAAACTGGCAACAGAACCTAGAGACAGAACCTAGCGAGAGAACATGGCAAAAGATCATGGACTGAACCTGACTATAGAACATGGCAAGAGAACCTGACTAGAACTTGGTGACTGAACCTGGCTGGAGAACCTGGACAGAACCTGGCTGGAGATCGTAACCAGAACTTCGCTGGAGATCCAGACCAGAACTTCGCTGGAGATCCAGACCAGAACTTGGCTGGAGATCCTGGCTAGGCTGCTGATCAACTGAACGCTATCTCCGTGTCATTCCTTCTTCGCCAACTCCGTCCACACCTTTGGGGACCCCTGGACCCGCTGGGGTTGGACCCCAGCATAGAACAGATTTTATCATGGTCTCCAAATAGGGCCAGGGCTTTGATGATCTTGCCCCAGAGCACTGGATCATCCATTTTTTAACAGAATTGCCTGTGCTCTCTGAAAGCCAATGTTTAGATTCCAGAACAATTTTTATATAATAGGATGATAATTCAAACCAAATTCAAACCAGTTAACCATATGATTCTTCCTCCCACTCTTATATAGAAAATGTATTTTTGGTGTAGCTTTGCCTTCTAAATAGGGACTCTGCCAGCTATATTAGTGAATATTATTAATCACCTTTCAAAAGAGTTCCCTTAGACTGTAGTGAGGTTTTTGTGAAGTACTGATTCATGGTGTTTTTCCTTGTTTTCTAAAGACGCATACTTAAACAAGCAGATTCCTTTACTGAAGGAATGCTAATTTGGTAGTTCACCGAGTGTATTTGAATAGGAGTGACAGCTTCCAAGACAGCCTTTAATTTGGTATACAAAACCAAAATTGTCAACTTTGGTTTGTTTAGCACCCTCCCCAGCACAAGCAGAGACATACAATAGCATCTGAGCTTAAGGAAGAAGCTTATGGGTTGAAAGAAGAAATACAATTCAGGCATAAATTTATCATTATGCATTTTTTTAATGCAGGCCAAAAAAAGATAATTTTATTTGCAGAGAACTTATGGGAATGAGGCAAGGAGACATAGAGAGACTGGAGATATTTGCCCTCATTTGGTAGCAGTGTTTAATAAAAGTAGAACTTGTGGTTGTAAAGAGTGCTTATTAAATTCTTCATTTACACTACCTAATTAATTCTAGCATTTTAAATTAACAGTGAAATTGGTCCCTGCTGTACCATTCCATAGATGCAGCATATTTCCTCCATCCACCCGTTGTTCAGGTTTAATTGGCTATGCTCAAAGTCAGAGGAGGAGGGAGAGATGGGGCTGTGGAGAGATGGAGAAGGAGTGGGAATTGCTCTAATAGAAGACCCTCTGAGCCTACATTTGGGGGTGAGTGACAACACAGGCTGGGAGAGGTGAGGGACCATAGCAGGTGAATAAAAAGGCTGCTGCTGTTGGTTCAGAAGTCAGGATAAATGACATCATAGGTATTTTTGTTGCCCTGATTTTTAACATCCCAGTCCCCCTTTTCCTTCAACACCTCCTACAGATCTCAATGCATCTCGATCCTGTGAAGTTTATAAGGAGTTCTAAATATCCAGTGAGAGGATTGGGGGATGGGAGGTGGCAAAGAGGTAAGAATTTAAGATTAAGTGTTTCAAGCCCAAACCACTCTCTAAGAGACTATTATAGATTCCCCCTTAGAAGGTTCTAAGATAGGTAGATGATAGATAGATAGATAGATAGATAGATAGATAGATAGATAGATAGATGATAGATAGATAGATATTAGATAGATAGATAGAAAGAAAGAATAGATATTGAGAAAGGAGAGAGAGAGAGAGAGAAGGCTGGATTTACTCCTTGCTGTGATTGTCAATGTTTTTTTTCCATTTGAGAACACAGAAGGGAAGTCTGGGCATGGACTTAAGTGTTGTGGTACTGAGGACATAATTGCTTTCATTCATCAGGTACTTACTCTAGTCCAGGTAATTACTAAGCCCTGGACATACCTTATTTCATTTAACACTGAGAACAACCTCCATTTCCTTAGATGAGGATACTGAACCTTAGTGAGGGGTAAGTAACGGAACTAGGCATCCTAGTTATTAGCAGATGGTGGAACTGGGAGTCACCCCCAGTTTCCAAAAGCATGATCTTATCTGGAAGCATGTGCAGGGTGCCCCTGCCTATGCTAAGTGAAGATCTCTGGCTAATGCTCATCCCATAACCCGATGAAGTATTGGGTTCCTCTGAGTAGTGGTTGCTGGCCATCCTCTGGAGAGTCTACCTAGTATGCACTGTGGCTTTAAGTACTTTTTTTTTAAAGTAAGACTCTTGTGTATAACGGGAGGCAAAGATAATAATATTTATCTTCCTCTGAGAACACACATCAGCCTTCAGAGTAAAGGCAAATTTACTGAAAGTGCCAGGTTTAAGATTTCTTTACAGTGCTTTTGGACATCTCTGTTATTTATCTTCTTAGAGATACTACATTTTCTTCTTTTTCCAATTGGGAAAGGACACTTATCAAGATAATCTAGATACCGGGGAGAGAAAACGTATGTCCCAAGTTGCTTTTGTGTGTAGCCATGGACGTGTGATAACCCTGGAAGCCGTGTCCTTTCTTTTTCCCCTTCATCCACCTGCAGCCTCTGCTGCTGGAGAGAAAGGGAGGTGGACTGTGGTCAGCAAGGACTAGTGCAACCTAGAAACTCAGGCGAAGAACACCAAAACCCTCGGTGGAGTTATACTATTCCCTTGGACTGGAGAGAATTGAATTTGTGTCTTATTTTTTATTTGGTTGTCTCTCTCTCTCTGTTTCTTCAAGCTTTAAGATTGCGTTACTGAATCCAGGTTCCTAGATGATCA